ACGGAAATAACAAAGAATAGACAAAACTTGAATAGGATTTTGTATTATCGTCAATCATGAATCTCTTAAGTTGAGTATTGATGAATATTTTTATATTCGAACAAAAAAAAATCTCTATTAAGTTTCTACTGTTTCAATACATTGTTTGTTCGTGTTCAGATTTCAAGAGTAGATTTTATCTAGGTTTCTTACCGTCGAATATAATAAGCATATGCGTACATTACTATTGTAATTATGTTTGAAATTTAACAAAAAAGAACTACTCGAGTTCTTTATATAAACAATGCTCGTCGCCTTTTTTGTTATTTGGACAGAATAGCATATAAAAATTTTTATTCGTTTCTATGTACAGTCTATATAGACTATTGTGAAAAAATTAAACAATAAGTTGTTCTTTTTCTGTTATTATATTTCGAATACACAGACTTATGAATATTGAAATAAGCAACAGGTTTTTTTTATTCTTATTTAATTTTGTTTTTGATTAAATTATTTTTATCTTAGAAATTGTGATACGTTTATATCGCATCCGATTCTCGATGATTCAACAAAGATGATGCGAATTATAGGTAAAGCTATTTGTTCTTATTTCATGTACATTATATTTGTATGTTTATTTTTTTTCTCTAGCCAATCCAGTTTATGACAAATTAACATTTTCCCGTGCAGCTAAGATTCGAAGGTATCAACCAGACAAATATTGTTGTAAATCAGCACAATTGGCGAGACCAAAGAATAGTGCAACAGTTGCATCAATCAAATCATTAAACAGTGAAGAAACTTTAACGACGGTGAATTAAAAAAAGAAAATCATATGCATTAATAAGATTTAGTTAATCTTATATACTCTTGAAAAAAGTGAAGAAATATAAGAATTTTAACTTGATATTAACTAAATATGATAAAAGATTATTCTGATATTTTTATTTTCTTATTTCATAGTTTAAAGAACAGCAAAAAAAAATATTAGTCTGATATTAATTAATATTCATCTTAATACATACAATTCGAGGTCAAAAACAAAGATATCTTGTAAAAACGTGTATATGTCTTTCTTAACTCATGAAGCATATGTAAATAGAGTAATTCAAATATATACTTTTTAGAGGAATTTCTTTAAAAAAAATAGCATAGAGATCTGATCGAAAATAGAATAATAAATAAATTTTAAATTTAAATATATTTTTAGAATTTGTTGTCGAATTTAAAATTAGTTTGTTCTGAATCAATGTTTGTAAAAAATTTTATTTTCATCTATTTTAAATTTTAATTGAAACTTTATTACAATTAAGACATAAAACGCTTTTTTATATTTGAATTTTTTAAAGCAAAAAATTTGTTCTACAAATTTCGACTTAAAACAATTCAAAATTCTAATTAAATATTTTAAAATTTTCACAAGTAACTTTTATATTGTTCATAAACACAAGCTAGAATTTTTATCTCAAGAATTTTTCAAGAGAACTTAAATCCTATATTTATCCCAGATCGAAAATACACGCTTGCAAACTATTGTTTACAGTCACGGAAATATACGATCACTATTCGAGACTATGTAATACAGCAAAATACATTCGTATACGAAGAGATAAAGAACATACACAAACGTATACGGACTTCATATTCGTTGACGTGTGATATTATCAAGTTATTAATATTTTATCTATTTTAATGTACTTTTATTTAGCCATTACCAATGAAAGATAATTCAATACGATTAAAATCTACATCTGTACATCAAAAATCATCACCATTTAATCGCGCAACATATACATCAACTGATGAAAAATCTTCAATAAATATCGAACCATCTAATTGTCCTCGAACTCATTCAATTCAATCGTCATTAATAAAAGTTGATAAAAAGCCTACAAATAATAATAGTACAATTCGTTATAAAATAAGTCATCAAGGTTTTGAAATACAACGTTATTCATCTAATAATTGGTTATGTATTGATATGTTAAGTAAAGATGCATGTCAATCAAATGAAAGAACATTTCGTGAAATGATTGAAAAAAAAGAACATGATGAACTTATATCTCATAGCATTTATACATCGGAATATTATCATAAACGTTTGTATAATTTATTAAAATCATATAAACAAGGTAATTTGACACATATACAATGGGCTAAACAAAATCATCAATTATATTGTTTAAAAGCATATTATAAACAAGCATTTCAACGTGAACAATATCGTATTAATTTAAATGCACAAAATCAACGTCGAAAACGTGCACAACATGCTTTTAAGGAATGGAAAGAAAGTAAAGATGAAGAATATCTTGAACGTAGTCGAAGTCATTTAAATACAGCTAATAGTCAAAATACAACAGAAGTTATATATGATATATCAAAACGATCATTATCATCACATAATAATACAATTAATCACATGTCAATATCACCAAGTACGGATACTGAACTTGAAGAATTATCACATTGTCGACCAATTAGTTCATCAAAATCGACTACAAATACATTATATATGTTAGACGAACAACGATGGTCTTTAGATGCAATGCTTAAGCGTATTGTTGGACTTGCTGAACCTCTACCACCACCACCAAAAATTATTAATCTTCATAATTCATCATTGACAAATCAAAGTATTGATAGTGGTTTTGAATCAGGCCTATGAATATATTTCAAATAAATATGTTTTTTTTTTTTTGTAAAATGATTTACACAGTCATAGATTTAAAAAAAGAAAATAACCTAAAATAGATATGGACTTTTTTCTTGACAACAAGAAGCTATTCTATTTGTAACATTATAGCTGATGTTCTTCTTATGAAAAGTATTCTACCATGTGATATTATAATATCACATGATCGCATACTGTTCATGAAAGAGAATACTTATTATAGGAATATCCAGTGAGAATTTCAAATGTTCAACAGAACTCAACAAATAACATAAATTTATATTTACTATACTAATCTTATTATAATATTGATTGAAATAGTTTATTTGAATGAATATTGTTATATGACTTCCTACTGTTCAATTCAACTCATTAGATCAAATCTTAGCAAATCAATATTTTATCTCCATTTTGATCCTATTAGATGATTTTTTTAGTTTGATTCTAATATTATTAATTACAATGATTCATAATTATATTTAATATAGAAAAGCATAACTTGTATAATAAAGTATAACAGGAAAAATACAAAAGTTATTTTTTATTACCTTCTGACTGTTACGGTTCTAAAGAAATATTATGTTAGTTACAAAGATTGACAACAGAGGGAAAAACAAAATAACAAAAAAAAAAAGAACAAACAAAAATAGATTAGAAGGTTTCTGGTAACTCTGCAAGGCATAAAAAATTTTTCTCATTGAGTATGACATTTGAGTTTGCTATGCCATGAGATAACATGCAAGTTGTAGCTATAATAAACATATCGGCGTGTCGAACAAAATATTTTGATCTGTGCAGACAACGAAATCATGTTCTACCTTCCCGTCATAAAAACGTGAAAATACTCAACAACATTTGCTCTAGTAAGAGATAACTTTCGAGTGATTCTGCTACTATTTTGCAATATTACTCTCAATAGGTGTAGCATGCATCGTCGAATGACCATTCATCATAGACAAAAATGAAGAAGAAATCCTTAAAGCAAAGGCAGCGATATAAATGTTTTTGTGAAATGTAACAAAATTGATGAAGCCTCAATCATTGGCAATTGGTGAACTGAAGGTAATTAGCTAGTAACCAAAAAATTATCATCATTCATAACTCCCAAGTACGTTATGCGTATATAATGAAAAACAAATCAAGTTGTTTGTTTTTACTTCTTCATAAATTTTGTTTTTACGGCTTTGTCACATTGAATTACTAGTTGTAAATCTTAATAATTAAGTACAAGTGCAGTATAATGTGTAGTTGTGAATTGTATGTTGCTTATTTTTTGTTTGCTTTTGTGAAACATGACCTAAAAGGAGTGTTAAAGTGTATAGAGTAGAAATTTGTATTCCCTGACTTTCTCTCACAGACTGTGACAGTCGTTGTTGATATATGATCAAATACTGTATGTCACTAAAATCTCATTAGAATATATGAACTATTATATGATTGCAGTTCTAGAAGATTAAGTAAAGAAGAATGAAGAAATTAATTCCAAAATAAACAGACTGAAACAATCTCGCTGTGATCAGCAGAAGTAACTACATCGTGTTTCAAGTTTTTTCAATATAGTGGAGAGATTATAGTGCAGTGTTGTGGCCTATATCATAACGTTTTCGCCGGATATTTAATAAACAAGGACCAAGAACTCAAAAACTCTCCAAAAATGATGTTCTAATTATGAAAGTGCTCTTTTATATAATAGAAACAAAGCTTAATTAAAAGAAGGGGCCATGTCATGTCCTACATCTTGACATTCTATTAAAGAAAAGCAATCAGCTACAATGAAGTTCCTTTGAGAATCCTGGAATGTACAATCAAAAAAGCATTAATAGAGAAAAAACGAAAAAATATTTTCTGCTTTCTCTAAAAAAAAAAGTATATTTTTCAAGATGATGATACAAATCATAAAAAATTTTGGCAAGAAAAGAGATGCTACATAAAAAAATCATATCATTTATGAAAGAACAAACCATATATATTTGTCTTAATTTCGAAAAAAAAAATTTTTATTCTGAAGAGGTAAGAGATCTTTAAAATAACCGTTGTCGATTATCAGTCTTTTGTCTTTTTCATCTACCCCAAAATTTTTTTGTATTCGATCTTATCTATCTAGTAGATATTTGTTAAAGTATAAAAAATACAAATGATACAAGAATGAAGAAGAGTTTATTAAAATCCTTTTCGTACTATTTATTATTTATCAATAGAATCTGTCATCTAGTCACTTTCTATTCCATTGACGGTTGCTTACTTTTGTTTTTTTTATTAACCTTTGTAAATTATTCTTTATTCGTTGATGCTTACTTTCTAAATGTATATTGATACCAATATAAAGTCAAGATTGATTAGCTTTATTATTGTTTTATACATATGTATACGATCTGTTGAAGGTAGAATAGTGATGTCTATATAAATTGACAGACATGTTCATTGTTTCTTTTCTTTTCTTTTCACAGGATATTTACTAACGGTATTAGTAAATGATCATGGCCACTTTCTTAATTTGTTGATTTAAATAGTAACGATATGATACGCTTCACAATCATTTGTATCTATATCTACGACAATTGTTAACAATGAGAAGACAAGGATGCATATATGTTTAGTAGCCATGGTTAATATGCATAAAAGAAAGAAAAAGGCGAAAAAGCAATTATGGATTTCATTATTAACTAACATTTATAGATGACTAAAAAAAGCTATAGCATTCATCATGATAAAAAAAAAGTCAATAATGTAAATGGAGATCATATTTATTTATTATTCTTGACATATTTAAACAAAAGCAAAGAAAAAAACGAAGATAAGGACAAACTGTACAAAAAAGAAAAATGGGAATGTGATTGATGATTTAATTTATTTTATATTCTAAAACAATTGTCCGTTTTTCTCAGGTGCAAATATGAATGTCATATCAAACCACGTCTTTTTCTATGATATATATTTTCTATTGTCTTTTGTTATTTAGTCAATAATGTAATAATTGTTTCTTATTGTATTATAATATCATCTATGCATTTTTTCTTGGCCCATTCTTTTTTTTCTTATTAACCTATGAAAAAAAAAAAAAGTATATATTGTAAATGTTCATCGGCAGATTTGAAAAAAAAAATGAATATATTGTATACGATATTAAGTAAGACAATATCAACGTTCGTTTACACTTCTAACTTTTCAAAAAACTTTATGATTTAATTGTATATAAGTTAATCAAATAAGTAACAAAACTATTTACTCAATTTAGTATAAAATATTTAAAAAAAAATCATAGTGATAATATGACTTTTTTTTTTTTTCGTTTAAGATTAATTTTAAATGAGATCATCAAAATCTACGCGTACGATTTATTATAATAAATCACTACGTTTTCATATTATTGTTTTATATTTACTGATTCTCACTTTGGTGATATTATTTGGAGTTTGTTTTATTTATATTTCTCGTACTGTTCAAATTCATAATGATGAATTAAAACTTATTAAAAAACAATTAAATGAATTAGAATCAACACAAATAACAATATCAACATCTACAAATGCATTTGATGCATTACAACGACGATCAAGACATACACGGGTTAAATCACATTTATTAAATAAAGACAAATCAGATTTACTTTCAGGTTCAATTCATTTTAAAATGCCGGTAAGAACGAAAAAAATTGAAAAACATTAAAAAAAGAAAACAATTATATAATTCATAATAGCCAATAGCAATGGCAACATTCTGTGTTAAATCAGTAGATCATTGCAAAAGTTTAATTACGAAAAATGAAGGTAAATTAAATCAAGTATCCTATTCGTTATATATATATAATACAATCACTGGAGAAAATATCTGAATTAGCGTTGTGCGCTATCAAAAACTAAAGCTATACCAAGATCGAGATTATAAACATAAAAAAACCTGTCGGGATTAGAACTCAAATTTATTGTAACATATATTCTATAATTTTAACCGAATTATCTTATAAATCATATTGAATCAAAATCTAATTAAAAAGAGATGAGTGAATAAGTGCTAGTTGTCGACTAAATAAATCAATAGAAACAAGTATTGAACAATTATTTAAAATGTGATACAAATAAATTTTGGAATAGTTTTCTTTGAATCGGGATCGGAACTACTGGGAAAGAAGCTGCAAGAACCGAACTGTGACAAAAAAGAAAACTTGGTCCTGCACATCTTTAATCGGCACACTTGCAAGACTTTTCTTATTTTTGCATTTGTGAGACGGAAATAAGAGATAAAATTTTCCTTTTTTTATCAGTAGGTAGTTCCAGCTCTACAGGGGAGTTTTCTATCAATATGAACGAGTTTGATCATCAACTCAAAGTATGGGAGTAGTCCTCATAAAAATGTTTGATATTTGAATACGCCTGGAGATAGATTCTTCTTCTTTTAAGCCATTTTTGTGATATGAAAACTATTCCATATGTACAAACCTAGAACGAAAGATGTAAAAACTTGTTAAACTATCTGATTTTGTACAGATTGTAATGAGCTGTATAATGGTATATTTGGAGATTATTTCCGAACAAAAATTAAAGTTCACTTTCCATTTCTATTGTAGTATTCAGCTTGTTCAAAAGAACGATTTTTGAAGTGATTGTATGTATATATATATATATGTTCTTAGAGCTACGAGGTCCAAAAGGTGATCGGGGTGAACGTGGTTATCCTGGAATGCCTGGTAGTCAGGGTCCAATGGGACCACCAGGTAAGTTCAACTTTATATAATGTATACCTATATTTTATTGTCTATTTATATATCAAAGGATCACCTGGTGAAATGGGTTCTCCAGGAGCAAGTGGTCCTCAAGGAGCCAAAGGTGATCCAGGTACATCAATTCGAGGTCCACAAGGTAGATAATTAAATGAAATGATAAAGATTTATATTTAATAGTCTTTTTAAAAAGGTCATCCAGGCCCAGCGGGACTTCCTGGTTATCCAGGTCCACGTGGTGAAATGGGTCGTCCTGGTCCACCTGTATGTTTAATAGTTCAATTTAGTTTTGTTTAATATAAATCTTAAAATCATTAGGGAGTTTGTACATGTCCTTTACAATCATCAACTTCGGTATCAATGTCATCAACATTAGATGAAAAACAAAGTTTATATTTAGTTCATTAAAATATCTTTTATTAATATAAAATATTTCTTTGTTTTTTAAATTATAGATTCATCTAGACGTGATGGTAAGTGATTTTAGATCAAAAGTTCTTATGTTTTTTTTTTGTTTATTTTCATGGTTTTATCAAAATCAAATAGGTACTCTTCGTCGTGCACAACGTAACTAATAAATAATTAATTTCTATATAACAACTATCTAATAAATATATTTGGTTTAGGATGTATATTTTCATTTATTGGTACGCCGGTTCTACTTAAAAAGGAAAATTATACATTTGGCGCTTGGTTTAAAGATCCAATGCCTAAAACTGCTAATGGTGCTTCAAAAATTTATGTTACACATCATGTTACTGGTACATTATTATATGAATATAATAATGAAGATGATTTAATTAATAATAAACCAAATCGTATAATAACATTACCATATCCATATTCAGGTGTTAATCATATTGTTTATCAAGGAAGTTTTATATATAATATTGAAAATAAAAATATTATTGTACGTATTGATCTTATATCAGAAACTGAAATTCAAAGTGTTGAATTTCCTGTTAATCGTGAACCACTTTATAATACACCACAATCAAGTTGGTTTGATTTTTCCATAGATGAAAATGGTCTATGGTTATTATATCGTGAAATAAATACAAAAAATTTTATTGCAACTAAAATAAATCCTGAAACATTAGATGTTCAACAAACATGGATATTACCATATAATCCATCAAGTTTAAGTCAAGGTTTTATTGCATATGGAATATTTTATGGTATACAATATTATAATAAACAACAATCTTATATTGATATTGTTTATGATATTTATTCAAATTTAGCATTTACAACAAAAAGAATTTATTTTACTATACCATTTCAATATTTAGTACAATTTACTTATAATCCATATGAAAATAAAATATTTGCATGGGATAATAAACATTTAATTTATTATGTTTATAATATTCAACGTGATAAAAAATATAAATGTTATAGATAATAATTAATATCGATGTCTGACAATGTGAAGAAACAATATGGGAATTTTATTTAATTTTTTTTCTTAGGTGTATTTCTTATGGAAAGTTCTTTTTTTTCATATGTAAATAAAAAAGAAAACTTTGTGTGCTTCTGTCTATTTTTGTTTATCATTATCGTCATGCATGAATGTGAGGAGTAATATGAATATATATATGTGTGTGCATGTACGAACTTGAAAAAGAGATAGAAAAACCTTCAATCTATTATAACTGATGGTAACCTTTCTTTGAAGGCTTCGTTTTTTTTAAGATAGCGATGAATAATTGATAGATGATGAAAAATAAATTTTGTGTTTGTCGATTTATGGGAATATATTCGTACGGTTAAGAAAAAAATAATGATTAAATTGATTTTAAAGATTAAAAGAATTTTTTTTTAAGTGAAATTATGTATTGAATAGATTATTTTCTTATTTTATTTAATAAATATCAAATATTTATTGTTTGTCTTCATTTTTATGTAAGTAGAAAAATAGTCAATTTAATGAGACAAATCAAGACAATTTTTTTTTCTTTGTTCTATGCATTTGATAATTTTTTTTCTCCTGTTGTTCCATTAAGTGCACATGAAAATAATGAATATATACATAAGAAGAATATTTTTCTTAATTTATAGACTTTATTATTCTAATATTAGATTGCATATATGTGATTACAAGTAAACACAAGAGAATAATATACATATATTGGTGCTTTTTTGTTTTGATACATTTACTTCAACATGAAGGTTGATTTGCGAAGGTCTTATTTTCTTTATTTTATAAACTAATATTACTTTCCTCATTGATTTCATTAGTTAACATACACAAAATCGATATGTTCGGCTGTGGATTTCCTTCATTTTCATTACCATTATGTTCACAATCGATGATGTCTCCTTTCAACATGTCGATGGCACAGCCTTACTGTATGTCTGCTCCACATGCAGTTCAACCAGTAATGGTTCCCACACCTGTATATGCATCCGCTGTACAAGCAGTACCAGTACCAATGGAGCGTCCATGTGCGATGCCTATTCCACATCCAGTACCAGTACTAGTAGATCGTCCATGTGCAGTACCTGTCCCTGTCCCTGTCCCTGTCCCTGTTCAAGTAACAACATGTATGGAAACATTGCCACAATGTTGTTGCAAGTCATCTGAAGTATGTTATCAATAAATTTTATATTAAAACAATCTTACAACATAGCTGATGAAATGTATAAAATATTTCAAACTATGATATTTATGTGTTTTTTTTTTGTCTAGAAATATTATACATGTCCATCGTATCGTCAAGTAGAATATATTATTGAGGAACCTGTATGTATAAGACGTCGCCGACCACGGCGTCAATGTCGATCATACTCTTGTTCTCAAACTTCTTTACCACCTATTATTATTCCAATACCAATACAAGCACCTGCTGTTGTTGCACAACAACCACCGTTTCAAGTTACTGAATATGTTCAAGATATTTATCCACCTGCACAAGTTTTTACTGATCAAGTACCTGTGGTATGTTTATTAATTATAGAAATTTGAAATCGAGACTCGTTGTTTCATATTAAATTAAGGGATATACAACTAAAAATATAGTAATTCAACAACCGGGTTTAATTCAAAATCAAGGAACGACAATTAATTGTCAACCGAGTATTATTTTATCTTCAGCAATTTAATCACAATAACATTAATATATTTTACAAAAACTACCTAATGGTGAATTAGTTCAGTGACCATTTAGTGTTGTTGATATTGGCGTTCAAACAGTAATTTTATAACAATCTATTGTTTCTTTATTCAACTCAGGTACTCTGAAAAATATTCCTCAGTTTGGTACACAATTCATTTCATAATTTTCTTTAAGTTTTTTTTTTTCTTATTTTTTTTCGATTATTAAAAAGACATGAAAGAAAAATACAATATGAATTTAATATGGCATTTTAGGTAAATGAAAGCGTGGAATGACTTCAGGATACGCTTTGGCATTGAATGTAGGCACTAAACAAAAGAATTTCATAGAAAAAAAACTATATATATATTTAAAGTCAAAAAAACGATTAGTCTTACAGATTCCATTGGGTGGCTTTTTATCAGGTATATAAGCATGACGGCCATGTCGATTTTCTTCAATATGTTTCAAATGTTCTACACTTTTTACATTTGGATTTTTATATTCACGTTGAGTTTCTGTATCTGTAACGTAATTAGGTGGTTTTTGTTGGCCCGTAACTAAAATAATTTAATTTGAGAAAAATATTCTCATTTGCGCACATGAATTAATATTCATGTTTACTGTGATAGAAACGGTTTTAGTTACCTAATTCATTGAGAATTGCTGCTTCTTCTCGTAATATACCAGACGTCCAATTTTGTTTTACTATAAAACAAAAAATAACAAAATTGAGTTATGTAAATCTAAGTAATCAGTAAAATAATCTTCATACATAAAAAATGATTGAATTCGGCTGGTTGTTCATAAGCATAATGTTCCATATTTGGATAATCAACACTGTCCATGTTTAGTATTAATAATCGTGTCACTGGCAAGTATGTCTGTATTCTATCAAAACTGAACTGTTTTCTTTTTTCTTTTTTATTTCTGATTGATGTGTATAGAAACAAACTGAATAATTCCATTAAAACATTATTGATGCCTTTTTTTTTTGTTTTATCGAAAGAAAAACTTGCAAAATTGAATGACGAAATCAATTTTTATTTTTCATAGATGCTTTGACATTTAAAGTACATTTTGGAATTCTTAGACTATCTTATTAACATCATTTGGATATGTTTAAGCATGATTGAATGACATAAACTATATGTTGAATAAAACTCGTAACGCTAGGTTTTTATTACAATCAATAATTACTATGACTGGATTAAATATTATTCTATCTGATAGAATCGAATAATTGTAGTGGAAAAGTTGTTTTTTAATTCAATAAACCGTAATAAGAAGTTGAAGGATAGTTTTACAAAGTACTTGAAAGCAACAAAATTGAACTTCACGATCGATTATTTAAACTTTTTTCTTTACGACACAAGCAAAATAAAAAGAAGCTAATTTTCAGAGTAGCAATTCACTATGAAATCGACTATAAAGGATGTCTATAAGAATCATAGAGAAAATATATTTTGCTAACATTACAAATACTATGTATTAAAAACAAAAGTCTCGGTAGTTCAAATCTTCAAGTGACATTTGTTAGTGCAAACTATGAGATACTGTCTAGATGTTTAGATAGATAAAACCAAAATGGAAATTTATGTGCATTATTGTTTTATTCTTTTTACACTGAATGATTGTTGTCTGAGTATACTTTTTTTTTTGTAAAATATTTATTTCATGCTATTGGTAATGAAGTATATTGATGGCAATTAAACAAAAAAAGATCATGATTTGAATACATGAATTGTTCTTGTATGACGATAACACTAATAATTAGAAATGATTGTTCTTAATTATTATGTTTTGAAAGTCATCTTTTAGGATTGTACGATCGAATTACGTAAGCTATACATTGATGCGAAACTAGATAGCGAATGAAGTTTAGTTTAAAAAAAGTTCCAATTGAAATTGAAATTGAAGTATTTCTTTAAACGAGATTAGAAATGAATAAAATATCTATGATGTCAAGTAGTGACACACAAATGTCCACCCTTATTTTTCTTTAATAGAACAGTATTGAAGGAGAAATTTTTGTCTTTCGAATCGTCTATAACTTATTTTGATAATACATTCATAAACGAAAGGATACAAGAGAAATGAGAAATATCCAAAGAACAAGTCCAAACTTTTCATTTAACTCAGAATAACAGAACAAAATATCGACGTCTATTTCTCTTTCATCACAATCACTACCAATCATTTTATATACTTTTTAACAATTTTTTAAAATGTTTTGACTTTCCTGATAATCACTGATATTCTTCTTCTTCTTCGTAAGTTACGACTGATGATTACTTGATTAATGTTGAAACGCTTAGCTAATCTACACTGACTAATATTCAAGAATGTCTCGAAGTTACAAAGAAGGTAGGATTTATGACATTGATAGAGTTGATCTTTGTTGCAAGAATTGGTGAGGGTATAGGTGTTTGCATCACACTTGAATTGATTCATTTACCACCAACAGTGGATTATTTTTTTTTTGTATCAGTATTTAAACCGATCTAGGCCTATAATAAACTATCGTTCTTTTTGAATAATACTACACTATTCGTTTGATCGTATTTATTACTTGATAAGCAATCTAATAAAATGTATAAAATTCCTTTCGATTCACATTTATTATACTTCATAGAAATATCTTGTAGCAATTAGACTTTTTCTATTGATGAAAATAGTAACCATCTGGTTACTGTTAACCTTCGCACCTGCGAGCTGCCAACAATTCTCTTTTTTTTTTTTCTTTTTTTTTTGTTTTATTAGATTATCAACATGAATGCCAAGTAGTGGCGTGAAACTAAACGAATAGAACAAAAAAAAAAGAGCCGAACGAAGAGGATGGAAGAGGAAACAGCAGAGAGTATCGAATGGAAACGTTTTCTTCGTCGCATGTGTGCAATACATTCCCGTATAACAACAGTATGACTTATGCCGTCTGTCTATTTTCTCTCTTCTTCAGTGAACATGTGTTGCAAGCAATCATCATGCGAATAAACCAGTCAATGATGACGGCTGTTGTATATATATATATATATATGCATGCTAGGTGGCTAGAGAGAGAGAGAGCGAGAAAGAATGGAATAAATAATGGCAGTAACAGCAGCTACCACCCCTTACGGATGTAGAAGATGACAGAAAAAGAAATGTGTATGCATTTACAATACAAGCTGTGAAGATATATAACCGATCGAACTTTGAACAAACTAAAAGTACATAATATATTAATGTTATATATTTATTTTTGAGTAATTGATTATCGTTGTATATTTTATTTAGTAAAATAATGTTAAAACTTAAACCAATTGAAATTGATAGCAATCATGTTGTTATTAGTACGAATACAATTACAACATCAATACCACAATCAAATCCAATAAAACGTTCTCGAAAATCAGCACATCCATCAAAAACTATTCAAACATCAATTGATTCATCGTTTATAAATCAATTAACAAAAACTACATCGAATATTCAAATTGAAGAATCAACCGATGATGAATCATTAAATTTATCACAATTAAATAATATTGATGAACAAGAAAATAATGATGACGATGATAATATGAGTGATGAAGAAAGTCCTATTACATATCAAAATATAACATTAAAACGACCACGTTTAACTTATGATAAACGTTTAGAAGCGAATGCACGTGAACGTGAACGTGTTCATAATTTAACAGCAGCATTTGAATCATTACGTCAAGTTATACCAATGTATGGTGATCAACCAAAATTAAGTCGTCTTTCAATATTACGTATTGCTTGTTCATATGTTCTTGTACTTGGTTCATTAAATGAAATTGATTTTAGTCAAGAACAAAATGCTTATACATTTAATGAATGTTTTCATATGTTATCAAGTACAATTTTAAATGAACTTAAAAGAAAAAAAATCAAATAATTATTATTAGAGAAAATATTATATGAAAAGTTTTTAAAAAAAAAAAAAAGTATTTTGTTAAGAACAGATAAAATATTGTTTATATTTAAAAAGAAAAACAGATATTGATTTATACTTCTGACTAATAAATAATATAAAAGAAAATTCTTATTTCAATATTATTCATAAAATCATATTTATTAATGCAATAAGATAAGACACTGGCTATGAAAAATTTAGGTTAAACGAAAAAAATTCAGAAAAACCTATAACAATTGAAATACCACAACAGCATTAAATTTCAATATTTATCGAAATTTTGGTTCGATTCTACTCATTGCATGGTTAGGAAAAAACCTATCGTAATCAAATCTGTGTAACTTGAGCTGTCTATCGCAAAAAAAGTTGAATAAGAAAATTGAAGATTTAGAATTCAGCAATCACTTGATGGATAAATCACAATTTTTTTCACGCTATATATATTGAAATATCATATATTCATCTTTGAGAAATCTAACAGATGTAAACAACTTTAACATGCTATTTCTTTGAGTCTGAACTATGTACATTATGTAGATCCAAATGGATCTACGAATACCCTGAAAAGAGTTTTTGTTCATAGTTTATTGCTGCGAAGAGACTGTCCTTCTATGGTATTTTTCGAATGCCGGGTGATACAGAAAATCTATTTTTAACTTGAAATGTTGTATAGAGATAGGATTTAAAGAGAGTATTTTTTTGTAAAAATTTCAAGTCTTTCGATTTGCTTCTATCCTCGAATAACAACATTAACTGTATTGGTTTATATGAGTGATATAAAAGACACGCGTTTCACCATAGTTGTATCTTAGGATAGGAACAGCGAAAACAAAAAACTGTTCATGTTAAGATCTAGCTGTAGACAAGGTTTCAAGTCAAAATTCAGAAACCAGTTTCTTCCATTACCACGACTTTCATTGAAAAGTCTCGTGGAAGTGCAATATCTTCACAGCAATAAGCTAGGAATACAAACTCTTTCCAGAATACTCAACATTCATTTGGATCTACATTCTCAACTTCAAACGCGATTTATCATTTGAAGAATGTTCCTCGTTACAGGAAGCCACAAGTCAGAACATTTGAAA